GGCTGTGCAATTAATCGCATGCGATTGTCATGCGCATCTCGTCAGTAAAGCCGGTCCCGTGATTAGTAGTAAATCTCCATCACCTGCTTTCAGATGGAGCGGCATTTACTACACAGAGCCGTAGTTCACTGTCAATTAGGCAATATCGCGTTCATTATTGCAGATTGAATCGCCTGCGATAATGAACGCGATATTGCCTAATTGTCAGTGTACTACGGCTCTGTGTAGTAAATGCCGCTCCATGACAATGCACATGACAATCGCATGCGATTAATTGCACAGCCTTATATAATATATAACCAAACAAATAAGAAATGTAGAACGTTTATTAGCAAAACGAATAAGAAATCTTGGAGGCACGGCATACACCTTGATGTCAAATAAAATAAATAAATTACAGAAAGTTTAAATAAAGTAAAAATCAGCAAACACTGTGGAACCAATTAAATAAGAAACAAATGTTTAAAAAAACTTCCAAAATCACCTTAGATAAATGGCAAAAGTCAACAGGCTTTTCAAAATAAATAATACTGCCAAACAGGCGCTTTTGCATCTAGTTTCGAAACTAAATCATCCGCGATCGTCTTGTCTGTCTCACCTCACTCTTCTCGTCAGTCTCCCCTCACTCTTCTTGTCTGTCTCACCTCAATCTTCTGGTCTGTCTCACCTCACTCTTCTTGTCTGTCAGCTCGACTCACTCTCCTCACTGGATAAATTAAATCTGATCTGTGATGCGACTGTCGAAATCCGATCTGTGATGCGACTGTCGTTCGGCACGCTGCATTGAGCAGCCGCGTTCAGTTTTTAATTGTAGTGTTTGTTCTTTTACTGAACTAAATGATTTTTATTACTATAAAAAAATCTAAACGACGGTGGGGGTCGGTGCCGCGGTGGGCAAGTGACATAACCGGTGTTGCGGCTTAACAACGGTATCATCGTCAGCACCGTCTATCGCGGCAAGCCTAGTGTTTACTCTCTTATTGTCCAATAATTTGTTAATCATGTTATTTAATTTATTTGTGGAAAGAGCATTCTCATTCAAACCTATATTTTTCTTATATATTGCAAATATATATAGGAAACATGTTAAATTATTGAAAATTACAAACCTATTTTTCTAAAAACAAACGTTTTTTTTTTATTATTTTATTTCTTTTTTGGAAGAAAATGTCATAATCTATATACAGTATGTTTTTCCTATACATTGCTGTAAATGTTGAAAGTAAAAATCTACTGGCAAGCAAAGCAAAGCAAATGCCCTCTGTATGTGCATGTGAAATGGATTTATTGGTGGCTTTGATCTCTCATATGTGTAAGACAGTAGACATCACAGCAAATAAAACAGCATGACATAGAAATGTAAAGAATAAATACACTACACAACAGACAATCAACACTAAATAAGATTAGAATGTGTGCCTTTAAAAAAAATTATATTAAAGTCTGTGTGTACAACTCTGTGTAGACTATGAAATTATGTGCAGGACTACAGAGACGGCTTTAACATTGACTATGAATATACAATATGCTAAACTATTCAAGTGCAAAGTTCAGGTGTGTAGTGGAGAAATGCAATGTAACTAGCTATTACAGCTCAGTATGTAAACCGCCAATAAGAAACTATTCTTCAGTCTATCCTATGATGTCATTTGCAGAACAGTAGCTATACATTTACAGTTCTACATTCCATTTTATATTTTAAAAAGATATTTTAAAAACCATCTACAAATAAAATAGCATGTTAACATACCATATACAGTATATATGCACTCTATTGGTTAGCATATGCCTACCATCCACTATTTTCCAAAGGAAAAAATATAGAAAATAAAAAATAAAATCAAGCTCATATGAACTCCTACAACAACAACAAAAAACTCCTAAAATCAATTTTAAAGGCTTCATTTTGTTTCCAGGCTGTTCACAGGCTAAGGGTAACACTGTGTTCTCGCTTTAGTTGTCAGCTATGCTACACTGCTTGAGCAAACCGTCACAAGCAAGTCGAATGTGACACGCTGTTCTCTGTCTCACTGTCTGTATCTCTTTCTCTCTCACTCTCTGGCCGGTCATCCGAAGAGGAGGCAAACCTCACACTTTCTTCTCGTCCAGCACTCAACAACACACAAAACAAAACAAAATCTACACTGCAACACACAGTAAAGGCTAATGCATGTCACTGCACACCCAAATGATAAAACAAAGAATGCACAGTTAAACAAAATGAATTATATAATAAAACACAATATATTATTATTTTAAATTCCTCTCTATATTTAGCTGTTAAATCCACACAAATGTGTGACAAAGAATCCTTAAAACGGCTAAAGATACAAGACATACTTTTCAAAAGGTACAAAAAAAGAACCTAAAGTATTCAAAGTAAACAACATCACCATTTCATATACACACTGTCCATCTGAATTAAAATGAAGATATGGATGACACTCTTTAAGATGATGTCTTTTCGTTTTTGACTCCCTGCCTCCTCATATAAAAGCAAGAATCTGAGGTACACCGTGACAGATAAGTGCCCCGTTTTAGGAATAAATAAAGAGCGAGGTGTACTTTTGAATAACGCAGTTCTGGACGCGTTAAGTGCCACTTAAATTCACGAAGCGCCGCAATCACCGGAGGATATTTGTTTCATCAAAATGAAACCAATCATTCAGTGCGAATCTAAACAACCAATCTGATGTCAAACGCACAGAATAAAGAGTTTTAGCAAAGGTTAAAAAGCAGCGGCTGACAATATACACCTGTCTTTATTCAAATACAACAATTAAAGAGTTTGTATGCTGTTTGCATGTAGGCGTGAGTGTGTGCCGGTGTGGAAGTGAAAGTACGAGACTCGTGTACTCACAGTTTGAGCTGTCAGGTCACTCAGGTCTGGTGCTGTATCACAGGCTCATCTTTTCACTGTTTATCCCACCACAGGACAGACAGAAAGAGAGAGAGAGAGAGATGGGGGGAGGGGGGTATTTCCTTTACTCCAGCTCTGTTCACACAAGTACAACTGAAAAGAGAGGGAGGGTAAAAAGAGAGAGAGAAAGTAGGATGATTTTCGATGCGATCTGGTTGGCAGTCCTGCTACAAAGCGAGCGTCAGATTCAGTAGTGCTGCTTCTTTGGCGTGCCGCGCGTGTCTTCACACATAGCCGAGAGCCCGGTGCGGTCAACCACACGCGTCTGTGGTGTGTGTGTATGCGTGTTTACGTTCACACAAGCGGTGGGGGTGTGTGTGTGTGTGTTGGGGAGGGTGCTTGGGCTTTCACTCACTGGCTGCGCCTTACACTGTAAGAACACATCAGAGATAGAGAGGGAGAGGGAGAGGGAGAGATGAGGGTGGGAGGGACGGACATGGAGGAAGAAGGAGGAGGAGAGACAGAACACGGAGGTGGAGTGGATGCACTGACAGTTTCACGCGAGCCCTTCTTGGAAGGCTCCGACCGCTAACGCAGGCTGACAGGTACTGAACGATAGAGACGAGAGGCAGCTATAGCCCTCTATTCTTTTCCGCCATCGCTCTCTCAATCTCTAATCCGCACTAAATTTATACCATTTCTCTGACACAATACATACAGGCTTATGCACATTCAGCAATTATATATTTTGCCTGCTTGCAGTTAAACTTGATGATTACCAAATACACTTGATGTTTGATTTATACCATGCAATTTCCACATTTGAATTGGCCTGGAAATCTAGGTTTAAAAACAATAAAAGAGTTTCAGGGGAAGATAGGAGAGCACACACATATATTTTGGGGAATGTCCGAAAATATCTACATTTTGGCAAGGGGTGAAGGTTGAGATTATGAAAATTATGCATATAGACTTGCCTTTTACTCCCCTGTTTTTCTTGCTTGAAGGGATACCCCAGGATTTATGTAGTAAAAACCAGAGATATATACTGCATATACTCTTATTAAAGGGGTCATATGATGTTGCTAACATTATTTTGAACATTAGAACATTATTTTGTGTATATGGTGTAATGAAATGTGTTTATGCGGTTTAAGGTTCAAAAAACACATTATTTTCCACACACTGTACATTATTGTTTCTCCACTATGCCCCGCCTTTCTGAAACGCGTCGATTTTTACAAAGCTCATCGATCTGAAAAGCGAGGTGTGCTCTGATTGGCCAGCTATCCAGTGCATTGTGATTGGCCCGAATACCTCAAGCGTGTGACTGAAATGTTAAGCCCCTTACCATATTGTGATGTCGTGTCTTGGAGCGACGAAACAAAAACATTAAAACCCATTATAAACGAGGTATTTGTTGCATCCAGTGGGGTGGGGACATAATTACGAATTATAATGACTTATACTTTTTACACGTTGTGTTGCATCGCACCGCATAAACATAAAACCATGTCTGCATTTGTGATCGGAGAATGAAGCCACACCCTCCAAAAATGGCCCAGTGGATAGAAAAACTTAAATCTATTTATAGAATGGAATATGACTGCCCAACTCCAACTGAAACTGAACATTTTTATACATTTACATTTACATTTAGTCATTTAGCAGACGCTTTTATCCAAAGCGACTTACAAATGAGGACAATAAAAGCAGTCAAAACTAACAAAAGAGCAACAATATATAAGTGCAAATGACAAGTCTCGGTTAGCCTAACGCAGTACACGTAGCAAGGTGTATATATACACAGTATATATATATTATACACACACATATACACACACATAAAGAAAAACGAGTAGATAGAATAGATAATAGAAAGCTTTTTTTTTTTTTTTATAAAAAAAAAAGATAAATATAAAGTAGAATTAAAATAGAATAGAAAGTGCTAGAGTTAGAGGGTCAAATAAAGGTGGAACAGAAAGGTGGACACCTGTTATTATTTATCTGGACGCATTGAAAATGAACTGATCAGTAAGGTACCTTGATTTATTCCCTGTTGTATTATTTGACAATGTTGTATGTGTCTTCTTTCTATTCTTCTTACTTATTTGTATTATCATTTTTATTTATTTACCTTTATTTAACCAGGAAGTCTCATTGAGATTAAAATCTTTTTTACGAGAGACCTGGCCAAGGTAGCAGCCATACAGTAAGACAACATTTTAAAATACAACAAATACACATTAAAACAATATTTAAACATAATATCCTCTCAACAAAAACAATCACAAGCCTCGATTACCAATCTCTTTATGATGACTTTAAATTCACCAATAGACACAAATTTATCAAGTTTTAGATCTTTCTGCAAATTATTCCATGCCCAGGGTGCATAATACGAAAATGCAGTTTTCCCTAGTTCTGTACAAACTCGAGGTACGTTAAAAAGCAAACACTTGGAAGAGCGTAGCTGGTAACTGCCAGAACAAAGACAAAGGAGGGTACAGAGATAAGGTGGAAGTTTACCTAACTTTGCTTTATAGATAAAAATGTACCAGTGCTGTTTTCTACGTATGGTTAGTGATGTCCAACCCACCATCTCATATAAAATGCAATGATGAGTACGGGATTTTGCATTTGTAATAAAACGTAATGAAGCATGGTACACTGAATCAAGGCTCTTTAAGATGGAGGAGGCTGCATGCATGTATACTATATCACCATAATCAAGCACAGTTAGGAAGGTAGCTTCTACAAGTTTCTTTTTGGCATTAAAAGTAAAATTATATTTATTTCTAAAATAAAAGCCAAGCTTCACTTTGAGCTTCCTGATTAAATTAGCAATATGTTCATTGAATAAAAGCTAATCATCAATCCAATGACTAAATACTTGTAAGAGGATACTCTTTCAATAATTTTACCATCAAATGTAAAAATACTAAGATTATCAAGTACTTGTGACTGAGCTTTTGAAAAAAACATAAACTTTGTTTTCTGAGAATTTAAAACTAATTTTAAGCTCACCAGAGCACCTTCCAATGACTGAAAAGCAGTCTGAAGCTCTTTCACCGCCCGTGTTATAGTTGGAGCAAGTGTATAAATAATAGTATCATCAGCATAAAAATGTTTTTTTGCTTGAATGTCCTTACCTAAATCATTTATATAAATAGAAAACAAAATAGGTCCCAAAATGGAACCCTGGGGAACCCCTTTAGATATTTCAAGAAAATCTGATTTGAGATCCTCCACATGAACACACTGAGTCCGATCTACCAAGTAATTTCTAAACCAATTCAACGTCCCTGGTCCGAAACCAACAGTGCTAAGTTTGTTTAGCAGCAATTCATTTCTCTTTATCTTTGAGTCACTGCTGCTGTCAAGGAATGTTTAGTTCATTGTTTGTAATTTGCTTTAATGTAAAAAAAAATAAAAGTTTCAGCATTCTATTCTGGGAGACGTCTTTAACTGATTAAGGATATAAAGTGTGGAAACTCAATGGCAGCCCTGTGGGCCCCTGAGCGCTCATTGCTGTCAGGGTAGACTACACTCCACTGATTTCAATTAAAAGCTAAATTAGCCATTTGAACTCTGATCTTAGCACTGTGATGTAATTCATGACTTGCTATCAGAGAACGCGTCCCATCAATTACACCTGGTACTACTTAACCTCGTCATTAATGCTTCAGCGTTAACGACGTCATCAGTAAAATCAATGCAGCTGTTGTTGCTGTGGTAATTGTTGCCGTCCTCGTTGCTGGCCATCATATCACCAACATACCATCACAGTATGTTGCATAATTAAACAGTTATAAATTTTAATGTTGCCACTAGTGATAGACACTACTGTTTGGAAGTTTGGTGTCTGTAAATATATATATATATATATATATATATATACATTTTTTAAGTCTCTTTTTTTCACAGAGGCTGCATCTATTTGATCAGAAATACGGTAAAAACAGTAACATTGTGAAAAATTATTACCATTTTAAATAATTATTTTCTATTTTAATATATTTTACATTTTAATTTATTTCTGTGTTGGCAAATATGAATTTTCAGCAGCCAGTACTCCAATCTTTGGTGTCACATGATCATTCAAAAATCATACTAATATGCCGATTTACTGCACAAAAAAACATTTCTTCTTCTTATTATTATTATTATTATAAATGTGGAAAACAGCTGTGCTGCTCAATATTTTTTGCAGAAACTGTGATACATTTTTTTTTCAGGATTTTTTACTTTGTATTGTCATTTTTTATTTATTTAATACATTTAAAATAAATCTTACTGACCCCTAACTTATAATAGATAATAATATATCCATTTTAAAATATTTTGAAATATCTATATCATCCATTTATTAAAGGGGTCATATGATGTTGCTAAAAAGAACATTATTTTGTGTATTTGATGTAATGAAATGTGTTTATGCGGTTTAAGGTTAAAAAAACACATTATTTTCCACATACTGTACATTATTGTTTCTCCTCTATGCCCCGCCTTTCTGAAACGCGTCGATTTTTACAAAGCTCATCGGTCTGAAAAGCGAGGTGTGGGCCCATGCATGACATGGGTGGGGAACCTATTTGAAAACAGTCATGATTTTAAGTCATTATCAAAATTAATTGCATTTTATTTGAACAAATTTGTTTTAATTAGCTCTTGTTGAGCAGCTCACACAGATTTTCAAAACAGCTCAAAGTTTTAGATGGACAAAAATGCCTCAAAATATGTTTTTAAAAGTAAAACAACACTTTTACTATCTAGCATACATTTCCATAAAAAATAAACAGCACCAGATGCAAGAAATCAACTAAATGTTCTTCAATTTAAAAAACAAACAAACAAGAAAACACAGGAGCAGTCAGGCCCACGCATTCACACAATAAAGCCCCAGTGTTTTCACTCATCCACAGTGTGGATTCCCAGCAGCCACTAATCATATCCTGTTAACGCTGTGGGCCTGAAATGGATCCCAAAGCAGCGGCCTGCTCAACGTGCCATTAAACTGGGATTTCCACACTCATGGCTGCCCTTCTCTCAGCCCCATCACCGGCACTCAGCACCTCCATTAACAGGTTCACACAGGTGCCCTCAGCTTCCACCATACTGCTACACAAAGAATAACAATAGCCAACATTATAGAGAGAATAATGGCATTAATAGCAGACTGCAGCCTCTCTCTTTGCTAATTGGCTTGTCTGCTAGCAGCCTCCACTCCAAGGGTCATGGGATTTTGTGGGTGGCATCTGTAAATAGCTAATCAGCTCCCCAGGCACTCGCTACACTTCAGAAAGTATTTCTTTTGAATTCGTAATAATAACGGGAGGAGGACTGTCG